CAGCATCACAAAGCAGCACCTGGAAGGTGCTCAGGTACCCTTGTTGGTATACTGTGATTCTAGAAGCTTCTGGGCCCTCTAGAGGTTCATATTCCAACAATCTATGACTGAGGTTGTTTGACTAATTGGACTGCATGATGAATTGTTACTAGATTCATTAAGGTATAAAAATAGAAAAGCTATTGTGCGCTAATTGTCTTCCAAATTAAGCCCAACACCCTCAGCCTGGCATTCAAAGACCTGCGTGTTTGTTCCCTTCTCATCTCCCACTCCCTCCTGATAGCACAGCCTAGCTGAGCTCTAGCTGCTCCCTGTACAAGTCCTTCCCATCTTTTGGCATTTACGAATGTTTTTCTTTTCACCTGGAAGAACCTTCTCTCTATTCACCAACAAAATCCTGCTAGCTAGCATGGTACCTCCTTCACCAGGCCTCCTTGGTCACTCTAGCTCCATGGACTTCAACCCTTGATGTACTTCAGAATCATCTGGGGGTGCTTTTTAAAAAAATACCAACAACAGGCCCAATTCAATCTGAGTCTCAGGGACCAGTGCCAGGCAGCGGTACTTTGTAAAGCAACTCCCTTGTGCAGCCAGATTTGAGAGCCACTGGGACTGGGCGTGCCCTCTCCTTCCGCTCCATCCCGCAGTGCGTTGTATTCTCATGGCGGCAGTCCCACTTGGCCTGCGTTCTGCTCCATTGTCTAGGGACCCTAACAGATCACAGGAATCTGGAGCTGGTTCCCCTCTGGCCTCCTCTGCAGCCAGCGTCAGGAGCTGGCCCAGAAGTGGAAAGGATAGGGTGACCGACGTTCATTTCACCTTTGTTTCCTTTGCAGGCCATTTTACATGATTTCCTTGTGCACATCTATCGATAGGGCAAATATCTTGTTTCCACATGTTAACAGAACTAAAGCCCCAGAACAATGAAATGACAGTTCCCTCTTCTTGGTCCAGGGTTCTCCTCGACGGGTTCTCAAGTTTGCTTTCACAGCAAAATCCCCTGGGTAGCTTGATAAGGTGGAGCTTTTCACCCACATCCCTGATGTATCTGACTCAGCTGGTCTGGGGCACACCTGGCACCTGTGTTAGACTCTGTTCTCTCACACCGCCTCATCTCTCACCACTAGATGGGACTTGAGCATCCCCAAACCACGGGCTCTGAATCCTGGCAGTATATTAAAATCGTCTGGAAGCTTTAAAAAACAACAAAATCAGAGTATCTGGGAGCACAGGTCTGGGCCATGTTTTTAGCTCCCCAGAAAATTGTCATGTGTAGACAAGGTTGAGAAGCATTGCCTTATGCTCCCCCCAACACTCACACATATGCTTACATGTAACTGGAAGGGAAAAAAAAAAACCCAAAGCATAATGCAGGTCTAAGTAAGTGCTACAAAATTCTGATCTTTGAAATGAAAATCACTTTTTACCACCGCTAGAATATTAAATACCCACATCTTAAATTTAGTGCCACCCTGCTTTACAGGCACCTCAAGGATGTCCTCCGTCTGCCCTGGTCTTGCCCCTCCCACCCTGGACTGTCACCTGCACAGTGGTGGAGGGGCCGGCAGGGGCTCCATGCTGCGGGGCGCAGCGGTCAGCGTGGCCGTGACAGAAGCAGCTCCCCTGCAGGNGTGAGGGGCCAAGGGTCAGGATGGGTGGGGCAGCCGGGTAGGTTCACACTGCCCTAATGGGAGCCATAGAGTTGGTGTGTGACAAGCGGGGGCAGGGGGCTCTGGGAAGTGGGGCTCCACGCCATCCATGACTCACCTTGTTGATGGTGGGTGTCAGATCAGGCAAGGAAGCCATTTCCTGCCTCAGGGCTGTCAGCTGGGGACCACCAGCTCCTCCTCCTCCTCCCAACTGCTGCTCCAGCCTCTCTGTCTCTCTCCGGATGTCCCTGAGCCGGAGAAGCTGGCGGGAGCTGTCAGAGACCTGCTGGGCGGCCTGGGATGACCGCTGGTAGGCTGCAGTCAGCAGCCGGAAGGCTCCTGGGGGAAGAGGGGAGGAAAATAGAGTCACCCCTGTACCCAGAGACCTGGAGATGGAGGAGCAGAAGGGAGACAGGTGTGGCGTGGTGATGCGTGCGGCTGTCCAAGTACCCGCTCCTCACCTGAAGGATCGGCACTGCTGATTTTTTCAAACTGCTCTCTCTTATTCTGATACATAATAAGGAGGTGATTGAAGCTTCTGTCCAGATTCTCCAGGTCTCCCGGGAGCGACACGCTTTCCTCCTCTAGGACCAGATTGGGCTGCAGGTCCTGGAGGGTCCGCCTGAGACGGGAGAGGAGTTTTCACTAAAATATAGGAGGAGGGTTGCCGCTCCAGAACCAGCCCTCCCCTTGGAGAAACTGCTACTGAGTCAGGAAGAACAGCGGCCTTCAGCAGAGGCCACAGAACGGAGACGCCACAGGCTGGAGGGGATACTGCTGGGCAAAGCCTGGGAGGACCGGCCGTCCTCCCTCCATCCCTCTGCAGGCAGACCCAGAAAGCTCTCCCCTTTGACTAGTGCGCCCCTGACACTCCCGGTTCTTTCCCACCACCCCACAGCTGGCTTCCACGAGGAGCACCACCCTGACCCCCCTCAGCTCGCTGCAGGCAGACTTCGGCCACCATCCATGCAGCCGTGGCACCTGAGGCTCTCTTCTGCAGCTGCTGCCACTGGTCTTCTCCACCTGAAGGGGGTCACCTGCCCAGACCCACAGCCATTGACCTTTCAGAGGTCCCAGACCCACAGCCATTGACCTTTCAGAGGTCCCCCTCTCCCCATGCCCTTGGCAGCTCCCTCCCATAAGCCTCGCATTCTCCACCCCCATGCTGAGGCATGGAACGCCTATCCATGCCTACACTTCCAGCCTATCAAATGCCTATGGACTCATTACGCAATTGTGAGGCTTAGGTCAGTCACACACCTGGATGGCTCTGGGCACCAACAGCCAGAGAGTGCTCATGGAAGGCAAACAAATTACAGAAGCTTCCAGAACCAAATCGCACTAAGAAGGCCCCTCTGCTGGTAGCAGGGGGGTGTGGGAGGGACCACTCTCATTCCAAAGGCAAATACCAGTTATTTTTAGAGCCCCTGCCTCCTGGTTGCCCTCCACCAGGGTGACTAATCCAGAGCTGACTCTCTCTCACAGGCAGCGCCGGGTACTTGAAAGAACGCTGGGCTTGGGCTCCAGCCTGGGCTTCGAGTCCCTGCTCTGCCCCCTCAGTGGCCTGGTGGCTCTGTCGCATCATCTATCTGTAACTGTTTCCTCATCTGAAAACGGAAGTAATAACGCCCACCACACCAACCACACAGGACTGTGGTGCTAGTTGAAAGGCAGAACATCCATGAAAATGCTTTATAAGCTGTAAAGGGCTGTACCAATGTAAGGAAGGACCGGGTACTCCTTGTGGGAGCCCATGTGGCATAGTTCTTCTAAGTGCTTGGCTGGGAAATGGACTTACCTGATGGAGAAGATGGCATTGGCCACCTGGGCCACCTCCTGCTCTGTGACCGGGGCGCCGCCGAGAATTGCTTGGATCTGCTCGATCTTCTTCTTTGCCTCCAGGATCCGGGAGACCAGGTGGGGATCTCCCACTCCGTGCCCAGGCCACAGGGTGGCAGTGGCGTTTCGGAGGCTGCTGAGGCGTAGGGCCTGCTCTTGGAGGTCCGCGTCATAGTTCTGGAAGCAAGGGTGGCAGGCCACGCACACCGGGTAGCGGTCGCAGTAGCCTCGCTGGCACTGGTCGCAGCGGGGCCCGGTCAAGCCGGGGCGGCAGAGGCAACGGCCGGAGGCCTTGTCACAGCCTGGACTCTCGGTTCCCCTGAAGTCACAGTCACAGGCTAGGGTAGGGAGAAATGAAGCCAGGGTCAGGGAGACAAAGGTGTCTGGTGGGGACAGCCTGAAGGGGAGGTCTGACCTAAGGGTCTTTTTGTTTAGAAAATAGACGGTCAAGGCCAGAATACAGTCATGGTGATGACAGCAACAAAAGCAAGCACTTTGTTAGCACTTACTACATGCCAGGTACTGTTCTAAGTGTCACACCCACCATACACACAGTAACTCATTTGACCTTCACAACCTCCGTTGACACAGTTAGCCACCCTTATGTCCTTGTTTATGTAGACGAGGCAACTGAGGCACAGAGAGGTTCAGTGCAATGCGCCTCTTCCCCAGAGGAGGACGCTGAGGCCTGCCGAGAGGAAGTGACTCGACCCGCCTCACTCGGTAAGGCAGAGACCGAGCTGAGGCCGGACCCGGGTCTCCATGCTCCCGTGGCTACTTGTCTAAGTGACTTTCTGGGGAAACTACACCTCCCGGCTCAAGACTCACTTTCTCCGTCTGTGAAGAGGGAAGAAACGTCCCCTCCTCCCTGCAATGGCCCTGGAGATGGCTCTGGGAAATGCTTTCTCAGGGAAGTGGAGAGAGCAAAGCAACCCTCCTGTCATGGGGATGTGGGGATGGCCTGATGTCACTCACTGGCTCAGGGCTGGGAGGCCAAGTCAGTTGGCTGGAGCGTGGGAGAATGTGCTCTCACGGGGCCACCAGGNGTGTGTGTGTGTGTGTGTGTGTGTGTGTGTGTGTGTGTGTGTGTGTGTGTGTGCGTGTGTGTGCGCATGCGTGTGTGTGTGTCCATCTCATAGTGCACTAATATAGAGTGTGGACTAGGGTGAATCCTACCTGCACTCCCTCCAAGCTGGGTGCCCTTAGGCAGGCTACTTAAACCCCCTGTGCCTAGCGTCCTCTCTGCAAAGTGATAGGCAGTAGGGATTAAATAATGTAATATATGCGAAGAAGCACTGAGAACAGTGCCGGGCACTTACAGAACTCAGTAAACCTGAGCTAGTATTTTTGCCAATTCCATTTGAAGACCTGGGAAAGACAATGTCTCCTCTTCCTTGCCAGGCCTCTCCCCACGCTGTGGCCCTACGTGCCAACAGCAGGTCGTGCCCACACCTCCCGCAACAGGACTCCATGCGGACTGTGAGAACTGTCCCGGTTGCTCTTTCTCTCTGCCCTTGGCTCCATCATAGGACTTGACCTGAGACACAAGCACAACTGAGAGGACGAAATGGGCTCCAGAGCCGGGCAACACCCTGCCTCTTCTCGTGAGCCTTGCGTCCCAAGGAGAGACTTCCTGCCCACTTCCCACCCCCGGCCAGGGCTGATGCGGGTAGGTGGCCATGCAGCCTCACTTGGCTTTACTCAGGGGAAGGCTTCCTTATGTCTGAGTCCAAGCCCCAAACTTTGACTGCCCCTCCATCCATGTTTTTGGGCACCATCTGCCTACATCCCCATTCTGGGACTGTCTGGGAGGCCGGTTCCAGCAGGACCTCAGGCAAGCCAGGGGACCTCAGCGGATCCTTCTTGCCTGTCTCTGACCGGCTCTCCATGCTCAGGAGGGGACTTTGGTCTGTACTAAAGGCAGGGCAATAGTAACAAGAAGAACCGCTGTCATCACACCAAGCCCTCAACAGCTAGTAACCGGGCTCCCGGCCAAGCAAATTCTCTGGCGGGGACCAGAAATCTAATCATATTGACTCATATTCCTGAGGCACCTTTCACTTTTCAAAACACATTTTACATCAGTTGCTCAATCCCCAGAATAAACGTGTGAAATACTACCATCCTGGGCTGCAGAAGTGAAAGACAAGGCAAAGAGAAAAGCAACTTGCTCAAAGTCACCCAGGCTCCCAAGTTTCATCCACGGAGCTTTCCACTCCCCAGGGCGACAAGGGAGGGGATCTGGTTCATTTATTCACTCAACCAAGCTGGGTGTCGTACGCTAGATGCCAGTGACACAGAGAACAAGAGTGACAGCCACCCCTGCCCTCTTGGAGTTTACAGTCTAGTGGGAAGACAAACAATACACTCAAAGCCAATTGAATTAAACACCACGGGCTGGAACAGTGGCAAGGAGACCAGCGGGGAATGGGAGGGGAGGGGAAAACCAGACAGGATGGTCAGGAAGGGGCCCTCGATGGAGATGAAATTTAAACTGGCCTGGAGGGCAAGGATCAGCAGCCTTGGCGACAGCAGTCCAGGCAGAGAAAGAACAAGTAAACGTTTTGAGATGGGCAAGCGCCTGTCCTGTTCACGGACGGTCAGTGAACAAAGCCGGGGGGACACGGGCCACACCCAGGAGGGGAGCAAAGGCGTGATAAGGAATTGGGAGGTCACCCCAAGGACGAGAGGAAACCAGTGAATTGGGAGTTCACCCCAAGAACGAGAGGAAACCAGTGAAGGGCTTGAGGCGCGAGTGGGATGTGATCCCACACACACTTTTCAAAGACGTTTCAGTCTGTTCTGTTGAGAATGAACCTGAGGGAGCAGGAGGGAAGGTGGGGAAGAAACCAGGTGAGAGATGGGGGCCCGGCGAGGCCAGGAGGCGGCTGGCTGTCCTGCAGGGACAGCAGGAGTGAAGGGACAAGCCCAGGGTAGGGGGACGTCTGGGTTCACCTGAGAGGAAGTCCCGGACTTGCTGGATGAGAAGCCGAGTGCGCCTGACATCTTCCTCCATCTGGGAGCGGCTGGTGCTCACCTGGGTCTCCAGGCGCTGAGCATCCGACTGCACCTGCGAGGCGGCTTCCTCGGCGGCCCTGATCTGCCGACGCACACGATAGGTCAGCAGTGGTCAAAGCCCCAAGAAACCCGCTCAGCAGCCCCCCAGGATTCTCTGGACGCCTGCTAATCAAGATCTACCTGGGGAACATTGGAAACTAACCCAGTTTGGTCCCAGAGAAACATGATGTGGAGCCAGGTTTCAAAAATACCCAAAACACTGGCCCCAAACTCTACCTCTCACATGCTGTGGGGCACGGGGTACGTTACTTGACATCTCTGGGTCTTCATCTCCTGAGTGTAAAATGTGACTTGCCGGGGGGCCTCTGTCCCCTCTGCCTCCTCCTCCGGGTGCCCACCCTACCTTGGCCGCACCTACCATC